CCCCCAGGGTCTTATACTTATGTGTCATGGGCTCCCCCCATGGTCTGATATCCAACTGCTATGGGCTCCCCCCCCCCCCCGGGGTCTTCCATGTCTAACCAATAAAGTACTAACACATTCACATACATACTAGGCATATCAATAATGATTCCACGATAATCATCTCAACTAACTGAATGGGCCAGCCTTGGTACCTTCGACCCATTGGTATGGTGAGGAGACTCACCTCGAATGCAGAAGCTTCCTGAAAGAAATCCTTAGTTGTTTCCCTGTCCACTTCCCGAAGCTACCAATATCAAATGACACCCAATTAGCAATTGGGTTCTATTCCATAACTACCATTTCATACCCGGGGTAAAAATACCATTTTACCCCAACCTGTCCCTGTCCAATACTTTGGCCCAAACTATAATCTGAAAGGCCCCAAAGGCCAATTAATCAACCAATGGCCCAATTTTCCAAATTGGGCCCATACCTCTACATGGGTCTTGCCATGAGGCTCAATCCTTCTTTTCAGTCCAACACACTTATATTCTGATGTCCCAATAATAATCCAACACTTGAGCCCAAAATGCTAAAACCTACTCGTGGCCCAATCCATGGTCCAATTTTCCAAATTGGGCCTAAATCCTTTCGGGACCTTTTCAACATCACTAACAGCCCAAAACCTGATGGCCTAACAGGGCCCAAGACAAACATGCCCAACAGCTGGCCCACACCGAAGCCCAATACTCATAACTCCATCTGACTGAGTACGCAGGGCGTATTTAGTTGTATGTTAAGCGTACAGGCTGTTTGGCTTGTACGTTGCATGTACAGACTTGTACTCCCAACGTACTACTCCTTTAAGACAAAGTCTCATTAAGCTCTTAATGCTCTATCCAACAAGTCCAAATCACAGATCTGAGTCCCAAATAACGTCTAAACACTAAGTGGTGTTGAAACTCCAAAGGCTCAAACTTCAACATAGATGGTCTTAAACTCCAAAGGTGCCAAATTTATGGACCTTAGACCTCAGAAACACTAAGAGGAGCAACTCAAAGCTCCGGGAATGAAATCAAGACCACTAGATCTCACACTTGGGACCAAAATGAACAAAAACCCATATATGGTAAATGTAAGACACCAATGATCAAGTTCAAAGCTTTATACCTTCATCAAGCTGGAAATGAGTCACAAAAGCCAGATCCATAAGCTTCTCATTGATCCCCATCTTTGCATCAAACTCCACCTTCTTAGAAATGGACCAAACATTCCAAAAATAGACTCCATAAGTTCAAAATGCCACCATGAATGATTAAGGACGAGTTCTAGGGTTTTAGAGGGTGGGAGCTGACTTAGAATGAAGAAGGCTTAACATTATGCTTATATAGGGTACAACCCTTGAATTAGGGTTTTCAACCTGACCCTCGTACGCCCAGCGTACCTTCTCGTACGCCCCGCGTACGAGGCCGCGCACCCCGATCCAATCCTCGCATATACGCTACGCGTTCCTCCAGCTACGCCTCATGTAGTTCCTTCTCTTCGGTATGCACTGCGTACCACTTTGGTACGCCCCACATACTAGGGCTTTCCCCAAAACCCTAATTCTTCCGAAGGCTATCACTTACTCGATACAACTCCGATTCCAACCATTCATATATCCATAGAAAGGTATCGAGACGCTCCATACTATTATCAATTTCTGCCTGCCATAAAATATCCCGAACTAAAATCCACTTTCCACAAAGGTCCGAGCTGATAAATTACCGAACTACCCTTTGGTCCAAAAACTCCAACTGAATACCCGAGCAACCAAGATGCATTATCTAATTCCTATTGGGTCTGAAACCCAACCCCTCGGGTATCTATAGCTTGATAGCACTTCATCCTTTTCTTACCAATTCAAAATGGGAACAATTCGAAACAGCATGTTACAGGAATGTTATTCATACATGTAACGCCCGTGTTTCTGGGTTAAGCACTATTGATGATGTAATAGTCTAATAAAACCGTTGTAACCCATTTTAAAGTAATAAAGATGAATTACTTGAATATTATGTGAATTATGTGCTTTTGTGTGCTTATTACTTGTTTATAATAATATAATAAATAAAGGATAAAAATAAGCGCCAAAAAGAAAATGTTAGATAAATCCGATATCGATTAATAAAGTTGTAGTGGTCGTGACAAGGATTTCGTACATATAAAGAGCGCCGAAATCCGAGTTATAACGAAGAAGTTATGGCTTGTTGAAGTTTCGCGACTGAACCGGCACGACACTGTGTGACGTAAATAGTGAATTTACGATAGAGGACTTTTTAGCCCTAGCGATCTAAACGAAAGTCGTAGTGTTCATTAAACCGAGAGCGTGCATAAAAAGAACGTCTAAATCTGACTTCGTATGAGGAAGTTATGATTTTTCTAAGTTTCGGATCGGCAGTGCACAACCCGAAGTTCGAATATTAGATCGGTCGATTTTTGGCCGACACAACCTAAACGAGATCGAAGATCTCATTAATAGTAGCACAACGGTAAAAATGACAGACGAAAACGGACATCGGATGAAGAAGTTATGAATTTTTAACGAACTTTTCCTGTCCCGGCATGTTAAAAATATAACTTTAAAAATAAAGTCAAAATTAGCCGACGGAGTCTAAACGAAAGTTGTAGAGTACGGTCCCGCGTACGCGTAGATATAAATAACGTCGAAAATGGAGCTCGTATGAAAAAGATATGTATTTTTGAAGTCGGAGTGGGAAATCTCGAACCTGGTGCGAGGGGTACGCTCCGCGTAGTCCGAGACGCCTCGCGTCCGAGTACGCCCCGCGTACCGAAGCTCGTACGCCCAGCGGTCTAGCCTTCTACGGTCCGGAGCCTGCCCCGATGATCCATCTGAAGACCGACGTGTGTTGTACGATCCGAGCATTACGCCCCGCGTAGAGCTGTTGTACGCCCAGCGTACCGAGGCCTCGCACGCCTATAAAAGGGCTGCGAGGGCTGCCTCCAAAATCACACCAAATCCATTCTCTTTCTCTCTCTAACTTCTCTCTAGCATATCCCAACCCCCCTCCCCCTAAGCCTAGGGAACCTTTCTAGATCTAGAAGAAAGCCTCGAAGAGCCCGGAGTCTCCAAGAAAAAGGGTTTTTCGGTTTGAAACTCTGCCCGTGCAGAGGCCGGTTTTCAAGCAAACTTCCCAGTTTCATCAAAGAAGATTATTTTAAGAAGCGAAGTGTTTTCCGAATCACTCCTTATCAGGTGAGTGTGTAGTCACTTTCATCTTACACATAGATATGAAGT